GGCTTATGGTCGCCAAAGCGTTTCCTTTCTGGTTAAAGAACATAGAGCAGCACGACAAGCTAATGATGGTCACGGTTTTCAAATATTCAAACAGTTATTAAATTATATATAAAAACTAAATCTTCTCTGTGATCATTTCTGGTCTTAAAATACATATTTTCACCATTTTTTAGTAGAACTTCACCATCAAAAGTTATTAAAATGAAAATAGATCAAAAATAAGGTTGATTTAAATCTAGCTGATAAAGCTACACATCTCATTTTTAGCAAAAATATGATGATATATGATGAGTTCAATTCTGGGGTTGTTCTCTGGTTACATGGAGAGAAATTAGTAGTCAGGTCAGCATTAGCAAGCTAAGCTAACCAAAAGGGTTGTTTTAGACACTTTTGGAAATGAAATGTGGCATTTAAAGGATATTTAAAGAAAAATATAAGTCATCGTCATTTTCAGTGCCCTCTCCTGCTTTTATAACCCATCTGTTTAAAGAAATGAATTTTCACGTGTGGCTGGTTGAGGATGGAGTTGAAATGAGTCACCGACAGCCTCTGACCTTGAGATTGATTTATAAAACATGCCGTAAATGAAGTGTAAATATCGCACTGCAGAACGTTCGTAAAAGATCTAAACAGATCGATAAACATGCAGACGTGTTAATATCCTGCGTTCGTACCTGAGCATGGCCATGGTGAGCCTTTGGGGGAACATGTGCACGATGAGGGCCCTCAGAGTGTCCAGGCTGGTCAGCTCGTGGGTCAGGTGAACCCTGCGAGTCTCCTCCCCAAGCTGGAGGAACAAGATCCCTGCATTTATGGATGGGGAGGAGCAATGGGGGAGATTCACAGTGGTAGATGGGGGTGGGGTGAAGTTTGGAGTCGGTGATGAAGGCAGAGAGCGTACGAACAATTTTCACCTTAAAGTTTTCAACAGCGTAGAAGCAGCTAATAATCATCCATTGTAGCTGAAAGCACACTGTTTGGCATAATCCCTCCGTTTGCGCTGCTCTTACCGTCTGTACAGCAGGCACTTCCCTCGTTACCACCTCCGATCTAAAGCTCTCCATCTCAACGAAACCCATATGTGGGAGCAGGGTGAGAGTACAACATGTTTTACTTTGTTCAACTTAATTTACTGTTAAAAAAAAGGCAATTAACTAAATTAGTTGGAATAAATACTGAAGACTGAGGTCAAAATCGATATGTTACACAAAATGATTTAATGAATTTTAGTGTTAAGTTCCTGTTTAATTATACGTGGCCTGTATGCTGTGCTGCAGATTGATCTAAATGTCAGTGGTCAGATTGTAAATGTTCCTCCTGCTCACCATTAGTCAGGGTTTCTGCAGTGTTTACCAAATTAAATTCAAGACTTTCTGAGACCTTTTAGTGCAACACACGAAGGCATTTTATGCTTGTTTTACAATAAAACCCGTAGGGTCAACGATAATTTATTAAGTGCATAAATGTATAGACGGTGGTAATAACTGACCCAGGACGAGTTAATCTGATGCAGATCTAATGTTGCCAGCAGCAGCATCACGATGCACTGTCACAGAAACCCAACGTTTAGTTTTGTGCAGCACAAAGTCTCCCGACAGCCTAGAAAGCAGCTGAGTCTGATGGCAAATGGAGAAATGCTGACAAAATGCCCCAAGTCAGCACGACACTGAAACGAATGTTTGTCAAATTAAAGTAGTTGAAGTAGTCACTAGTTGACTAGAATTAAAAAAACTGATGCTCTTGCTTCTGGGCAAAAGAAACGCTGTGTCACAGCGGGGTGCGCCGGTGTGTTTTGTTTATAGGACCCAGAAGCGGATGCAGAGAGGAGTTGCAGGAGTTAACAAAAGGCGAGCCTTTATTTGGCTGTAAGCAGTGGTGAAATATATAACTAAGAAAAAACGATGGACACTATTCAAAGGAGCTTGCAAAGAAAAGCGTCTGGACTTCTTTAAGTTACTTGAAGACGTTTCACCTCTCATCCAAGAAGCTTCTTCAGTTCTAAGGTCAAATGGTGGAGAGTCCCAGATTTAAACCTAGTGGGAGTGTCCCCCCAAAGAGGCACAAAAGGACCCCCCTGATGATCCTCTAATCACCTGAGCCAAGGTGGGAAAACGGGTGTGGGTCCCAATCAGCCAGGGTTTCGGGTGAGCTCATTGTGAAACCTGGCCCCACCCCAGGAAATCGCATGATAAGGTGGGGTCCTTTTGTCCCTCTTTGGGGGGATATTCTCCCACTGGGTTTAAATCTGGGACTCCCCGCCATTTGACCTTAGAACTGAAGAAGCTTCTCGGATGAGAGGTGAAACATCTTCAAGCAACTTAAAGAAGTCCAGACGCTTTTCTTCGCAAGCTCCTTTGACTACGATGACCTGGATGACTGAGAACCTTCACAGACCTCTGGACACTATGAGAATGAACACTGTGTAAACGAAGGCTACTGTGAAACACAGTGAGAGCTATGAGGAAAAACCTATGAAGACTGTGGTGACGATAACAGACGACCTGACAATGACATATGGAAAACAGAGGACACAGGAGGTGATCAGGGGAAGGAACACATGGGGAAACAGCTGACTGATATGAGCCTAATGACAGGACAGGGAAAGTAAAACTAAATACAATAAACAAAGAACATAAAACTCCTTCAAAATAAAACAGGAAACACGGAGACATAAATATGACAATACAAGCTCAGACCTAAAACATATGAGAGACTAGACGAGAACCCACACACAGAAACCAAGGAGACAATGATACATAATGGCTGATTTTAACCTCAACTAAAACCTAAATAAGAATACCACATGAACCATCATCACAAATCTAACATAAGACAAATACCAACTACACTCAGCGCGCTGGGTCAGAGACCCAGCCTGTGACACGCTGGGTGGGTAATTTGTGGGTCTTCCAGTGCAAAAGATGGATTTAAGCATCAACCATCATGACTTGGTTTTTAGACTCAACAGTAAACTATGTTTTCGGGTCTACTGACCAGGTTTGATGTCAATAATCAGCACTTCTTTGGCATAACCAGCCTGCACAGGTGCGTGGTCATTAACTTGAAAGGAAAGGTGCTGATGCCTTTGTGTGTGTGATATCACACATTTCAACAGCTTTTAAAAATACTATTCTATGGCTGAAAAATGGGTTCAAACAGCTCTTTTAAGCACACCGTCCATTAAATTGAGCTCAGACTAGTCTATTTTGTGTTTGCCCTGCAACAGGCTGGCGATATGTCCAGTGTGTACCCCGCATCTCGCCCTGTTTCAGCTGGGATGAGCTCTGTAGATCAGCTGATGTCAGTGCCAGCTAATATTAGCTGACAGTTCAGGTGATGCCCATATGCACATCCAATTGAGTAGCTTAAACATGGACCATAATTCAAGCTGCTTCAGCCTGTGCACATTTGGCGTTGATATGCAAGCATCTTTGCAACCCACCTTCACCCCAGCTCCTGTTCACTTTGCAGTTTCTCACTTAAAGAGCATATCTGTTTACAGTGGTGCCGGGATAAAAACAACATGACATTTTGACATATTTCTACTGGTTTGTTCTCCTTGTTCCTTTACATTCTGAGAT